GGAGGTCTGTAGCTATTGACTCTGCAGACAGTTGGTGACATCTGGACACTGTGAGCCTCAGCGTGTGTTTTGCCCCACTCAGTGATTTTACATGGCCTACCACTTTGTGGCTGAGCTGTTGTTGTTCCAAAATGCTTCCACTTTGTTATAATGCCACTAACAGTTGACCGTGGAATATTTAGTAGCGAGGAAATTTCACAAATGGACTTATTGCACAGGTGGCATCCTATCACGGTACCACACTTGAATTCACTGAGCTCCTGAGAGCGACACATTCTTTCGCAAATGTTTGTAGAATCAGTCTGCATGCCTAGGTGCTGATTTTATACACCTGTGGCTATGGAAGTGATTGGAATTCAACGATTTGGAGTGGTGTCCCAATACTTTTGGCAATATAGTGTGCCTAACCAATACGATTTGCTAACTTGGGTTTGTATCGAATTATGATAACCAATGCAGGGGCAACCTACGACAATGGACTCAAGGACTCCTGCGCTAAACGCGTGTCTTTAAAGGCTGATTTATACTTCTGCATAGAATCTACACCATCAGTAGTAGGGTACCCTAAGCCATATCCTACGCGGTACCCTCAGCCGTACCCTACACCGTAGCCTGCCACCTGGTAACACCTACCCTAGTAACATTTCTGGAGAGGTGCGCATCATGCTACAGTGTAAGCGGCTACTATGTACCCTACAGTGTAGATTCCACGCAGAATTATAAATCAGCTTTTAGGCTGGCTGCTGACATCACTGCACTGTTCTGATTGATAAGATTGATCCCTGATTGATAAAACCCCAAATGCTATTGACTTTTACAGTGAGACCTAGATGTATTTTAGGATGGAGCTGATGTACTAGTGATAACCCATGAGGTACCTTCAAGCTGCCGACCACACCGCCAACCAGCAGGTACAGTGGGATCATGGGCTGTATGGGACAGTCATGTAGCGTCTTCACCCCTAAAACAAAAGAAGGAAGGCAGATTTCAGTCTGCACTGACAGCAGGTTGCTAACCTGCAGGCGTTGGCTATGACTCAGGAGTTTAGCCCTTTGCAGAGCCTCTTTGCCCGCAGCCTGAGCCACTGTAGCCCATTTTTATTATGAACAAACTGTGGAATATTTAGCCACTTTCCAGGTATGATTCTTACCTACAAAAGCCATGGTGAGAGGCAAGGCCAGAAAGGCAAGCAGCCCGGAGATTAAATAGGCTGGAAGGAGAACAGAGGAGAACATTGCATGGTATTAGACTCATTACATCATTTTAAATCCTCCATATCAGTAATGATAGTCCCAGTTATCCAGGGTGGAATGGTTAGTGAAAGTTGGGATATAGAATTGGACAGTGGTAATTATAATTATTAATCTGCACCGGGGCATTCTTTCTTTGACTACCCACACTTGCCCTCCATGAGGCACACAGACAGGTGAGAGTAAGTTTGAGGAGGGTTACAGTGCAGTGCAGTGCAGTGCAGTGCAGGCTCAGCCAGCACGCAGCACCCCTGGAGCTGGGAGTTAAAGACCTGGTAGAGTCAGCGCCCATCCGCCCTTGCCCTTCATGTCTCTACCTCCATTTGACCAGCTGGTGTCACTGGCCATCCCACTTGTCAGTCTCTGTCTAACCCTTGCGTGTTTCACCTGCACCCTGGAATGCTGCGTGGCGCAGTGGGTTGAGTGTGTGGCTTGCAGATAGCATTCCCCCTGTCATGGCTTTGAGGCTGGCTAATGAGCTTCATCTGTTTTTTTGTATTGATGAGTTTCTGTTCCCCAGTGTTTTATGTTTTCTGTTCTAGGTTTACCCTCCTTGTGTTCTGTTTTGGTTTTATTTTGTACTTCATTTTCCTGGTTTAGTATTTCCTTACGTTTCCTCAGTTTCAGGTCTCGAAAGTTTCGTAGTTCTGTGCTGAAGCGTGTTAGTTACTTCAGCTGTGCCTTGTTGCCCTGCACCCTTGTTGATTGGTTGTCTTGGTTATGTCTCACTCCTGCTCCTTCATTAGTACTGTTTGGTGTCTGCATTTAAGTGCTTGCCCTGCTCTGTTCTCTAATTAGTCATTGTGTTTAAAATGGATAATCATATTAACTACAACTGGAGAAAGCATTTTCACCTGTGAAGTTGTTTCAAGTACTAAGCTGTGGTCTCACTTTCTGTTGAAATAATAATTAAATAAAACACGAAGAACTTAATATACTCCCAAAACAGATACATTAATGTCAACACAAAGACTAAATGCTGTTTTTAAAGGATGGCATTTACATAACTGTCGATCATGTTGACTGATCATGTTTCTTGAGTCCCACACTGCAGTCAGAGGGTTGGTACCGCAGAGAAGGCTGGGTTTGGACCGTGATTCGTCATTATTTTAAATATTGCAGGTCATTCATAGATTTCGACGCACTCACCGTTACCGGCAATGTGAGACAGACATCGGTGGCATGCTTTCTCGATACCAGCTACCATGTCGAATGCCAAGTCAGGTCACCTGGGAGAAGGTGACATTGAAACGACGCATTCAGTTTTAACCATGGGTTTTGAAAGTATCTCCGATAGTGTATGCATTCAGCGGTGCATTGTCAAACACTTAGAAACTGCAAAGTAGAGCCATAGCACAAATTTACTGCACGCGATTAAAGCATACCGATGTTACATAAAGCACACTGAGCGAGCTTTAATAACTCGTTTCTATTTAACAGTTAAAAATTGTCACAGAATTGCATACTAACTGTATGCATCAGATTATACTGAATTTTCCCCTCAGGCATTTGCTATATTCAGTGACTGTGGTGTCTGTGTGACCATCATTATATAGCATATAGGTTTAATAACGAACACACTTTAAAACACGCAGTTATTCATTTTAAATAAAACACTTTCAAATGGTGTGCATACTAGAGTAATACCGGACGATTAGAAGAAAGTGAAACAGGCTCAAATGAACTTACCTTACATCTATTACTAATATTTCAATTTGAAATATGCACTTATTTCATATGACACCAAGGAAAGTGAAACATTTCAAAGTACGCGAATAGCAAACATTTGAAAATGCAGAACAGCTCGATGTGTCATTTACAAGAATGCAAAAGCGATTATAGCTGCACTTAAACGTATATATCAATTGTTAAAAATATAATGGTCATACCAATAAATAAAAACTTTTTAATTAAAAAAATCTAGCAGCATTTATAACAAAGGGCATTGTTCATATTTACACGCGTTCAGAGACCACATCCCACGTTCTCCGCTGTCTCAGACGTGGTTGAGCATCTAAGTGAAGGTGGATATCTTAATATTCACAATCGTCCTTAAAATCATTCAGACACGCATCCACATATAAATAAAAACAGCAGAAATACAAACAGATACACTGAAATGATGAGACGTTATGCACGAACTATAGTTCATATGTACAGTGACAAATGCAATTGTTTAGCGCGCATACCTTAATTATAGACACGGGTAGACGATGGCGAATGTGCTTTGCGGAAAAGAGGCACATTTTAAGTGAGGAGATTAGCAGAAAGACCACCTGCTGCACATGGCTCGTTATAATAAAAGCAGGCAAACCTACCCGTTTGTTCAGTCCTAGCTGCCAGAAGCACTACAGCATCCCACGGATCGAGGTACTGAATACACAGGACTTGAAGAAAAAACTGGCCAAATGAACTATGCGCTGACTTAATATGACCCCCTGTAAGCTGTCTGTTAATACCCTCTTTTATCAATTGATGGTTCAGTATAATACTACAGAAATATTATTACATCCGTACACCAGAAATCTCTACAAATGAACACTGGAGATATTTCTGTAATTATATCTTACTTTTAAAATTAATAAATACCATCTATATTAAAATTGAGATCTCTGATTGATTGATTGTATGGATGACTGATTAGCGACCACCAAAAGAATTAAATCCCAACCACCGCGGGTAGTACTTCAAGACACCCACTCAAAACCTGAATTACGTAATTCCGTCTTTTAAATGAAGAAACATTCATCCATTCATTTGTCGCATTCTCTGACATTTCCTTACTTTAATGAATGAGAATAACAGAGTAAGAAGAAAAGTTGGTAGTAGCCTACATGTAGCAGTCGCAATGAGAGGACAGTATGGTGATTAGTAAGAAATGCAAATAAATAATATATTGCAAAAGCTGTATTTGGCAAACAAAGGATGTGTACGATGTATACGCATGGGCTGCTGCTATTCCATATTCTCCTAATGTTTCTGCGCAAAAAAGTTACATAAGCAAATGGGCAGGGACAACACATTAACTTTAAAAAATGCATGATTTCTTCCTCATTCATTTTCAGTTTCAGGAGATCTATGCGACTGGAACTTAAGCACTTTACTGAACTATATCCATGGCTCTAAATTTTATCTCCATAATTTAAGAAATTAATTTTTGCTATTCCCTGAATTGACATATCCAAGTACTGTATAGCCTCATATCTCTGCCATCGTGAAAAACAATTAAATGATTTCCGGTTCGTAAAAACATCACTTATTCAGCATAAGCTATTAGCAAGTGAAACTTGTAGTCTAAGAAATACTACATTTACGATTGTATAGTTATAAACAATTCGAGTTTAGAAGCTTTCTGAACAAAACCATTTATTGCGTGTCATCTGGGATTTGATACAGTAACAGTTACACACAGACACCGCAGAACTACAGGTAAGTGGTGAAAACATCAAGAATGCTGCAGCAAGCTTGGAATACCATAAATACGAATTAGGTTCCATTAAGCCCTAGGACTTTTTCTTGCTCTTGATTTGCCTGGTTTTCTGTGCCAATCTAATGAGATGAGGTTGATTAAGCGCAGCTTACCGCAGTACTCAGTGCTAAGAGACCGTCAGCAGAGGCACATTAACACGGCAGGAGGGCGCTGGGCTTCTCTGCCGCAGACAGTACCGGGCGGTTAGAAATGCGAGGGTATGTGTAAAACATTTAAAGGACAAAAACCAAGTTAAATAAAAGGACAACATTAGCCCTTAATCTTGTAGGAAGGTATATATATATATTTTAAATTACAATTAATTTTTATCCACAGTGACTCAGCAAGTACCTGGACAATTGGGGTTAACAGCCCTCTCACTCGGACAAGAAGGAGATTTGAACCCATGACCTTTCAATCAGAGCCACAGTGTCCTAACCTATAAAACACCTATAAAAGGTTGTAGTTTTAGGATGTATGATATGCAGAAATAACTCAGTCATATTATATTATTACTTCCAGTCAAGAGAAATTAGTAGATGACTGATGCACATACTCATGTCAGCCATCTCCTGGATAGCAACAAACTGTAAGGCCTAAGCATTGAATGACAGATTCAGCGATAACACTGGGTTCATAAGCATGGGTGCTCACAGGTCAGTGCCCAAGGGGCAGCTGTTCATCATGAAAACAGTGTTCACATCAAAGTATTTTCAGAAGATAAAAAAAATGTACTTTTGTTCCATTGAGATTTTAACTGGTCTTGTTTTAGCATGTAAAAAGTCTGGTGTAATTATTAAAAAATTTGCATAAGGAAAAGAAACTTCATCCTGGAGCGCAAAGGGTCATAATGCAGAACAGTCTGAAGAGAAAGCATAGGACGTACAGCGGATTCAGGGGTGCAAAAAGAAGGCTTTGAGATAAACATCCTCAGCATCACAGAGACTCTGTTCCATCACCCTCCTGGATGCAGAAGGCAGACGTCTAGCCAGGTGGTTGGCGGGTGGGCCGTATGTTTTGTGATGTGTAGTGCGACACTGCATTTGCACTGACAGTTAAATAGGCAGTGAGCTCCAGCTGCATACACAGAGCAATGCTGTTCACGTGGCTTTAATGAGGGATGACAGAGTGCCTTTATGGAGTGCCCTCCGCCCCACCCCCCCTACACCTGAAGCCTATACAACAAGGTCGGCCTCCTTCAGGATGCCCCGCAGGGACCAGTGCCCCCAAGGTGAGCACCGGCGGGACAGCGGGGAATAGAGCGAGCGGTCATCCAGGCCCACATGCGTGCTGATCTGGGATGGGCTGAGGGTCTTCATCCGGCCCTGGGCCAGCATCTCATAGTGCTCCACAGACGTCTTCTTGTACCTGCGTGTAAGTGTTTGGGGGTGTTAGAGCAGAAGGAGATGGTCTGCCCTCAGCTTGCATGGCAGACAGAGACAGCCCCAGCGTGTCTATAAATCCACAAGCATAATGCCACCACTATGATGATGATCATCACGCACGCTGTGTCTCCTTTAAAGCTTCTGTCTGTGAATTGTGTGAGAGAGAATGTAGGATTGAAGGAGAAAGGATGAGAGACCACTGTGGGAAAGGGAGGAAAAGGAGGAAGGGGGCTAAGGGCTCAGCTTAGTAATTTAGTAACTTGTCTCTCTTGCAGTGGGTGGAGCCCCGAGAGACAGCGCAGAGATGTAGCCCTTGGCCTGCACAAACCTGCCATTGGATTCCTGGTTTCTATGGTGATGCCTCACTGCAGCAGGGAGTTTATGGCCCACGGCGGTGCAGTTGGAGTAAAGGCATTTGGGCACAAGCTACATTCAGACCTTGCATGGCAACTGATCATGTTAAAATGCCCCTTATGGTTTCCAAATCTGAAGAATTGTTGCTGCAATGTTTTTGCAGTCATTGACTGGGTATTATGGACACACCGCAGTAGCTACTCCACAAACTGCTTTTGCTGTCATCTCTCAAATTCACACTGACAATGCAGTCAGTCAGGAATAAGGGATTTTCAGCGGCTGTATGGACCACACCAGGCAGGGATGGATGATCGGAGAGAAAGATGTTGAGATGGTTCTGTGAGCTAGAGAAAAATCTTGACGAGCCAATCTGCATCTGTCAGGTGGACAAGCCTTCATGTACTCTGCTGGATTTCAGCAGCAACACAATTGAATTTCATGCTCATAAAACCAGTGGGTGTAACTGGATTTAAAACTAATTTAGAAAAGAGAGGAAAATGACACTTTGAAAGACTTGACACAAATGATACGTGGAGTTCAGATATAGTAAAAGAAAGCAAGACTGCATGATGCCTTTGACAGTCTCAGAAAAATGCCTGGAGAAACAGCAACAGAAACACAACCCGCACACAAAGAAAGCAGAAAATGAACAGATACACAGACACAGCAGAGTCCAGTCACACAAACAGCTGAGATCACGGGTAAGGCTGTATAGACGCACACACCCACAGAAAGTGTGTAAACTTACAGCTTGAGGAGAAGAGATGACAGCACCACCGAGACAGAGGAGGCTGCCATCGCTGCGGAGCCCATCCACGGCTGGAGTACCAGGCCGATGGGCATGAAGACGCCTGCAGAACAGCAAGTGCTACATTGACATCTATTCCACAGACACACACCCACACATACATACACACACACACACCTACACAGACACACACACAGACACACCCACACATACACACACACACACACACCTACACAGACACACACACAGACACACCCACACATACACACACACACGCACCGACACATACACACCTACACAGACACACGCACACACACAGACACACACACACACAGACACACAAGCACCAGCTCTGCGGCTGTTTCCCTCCTGACTCCTGTCTCCTTCAACTCCAACTGCTGTGTGGCTCCAGCACAACATCATCAGTAGTTCATTGGCTGTTTACAGAGGCCTCCCCGTATAAAACAATTACACAAATAAAACCGTTTGACTCAACTAGGGACCATTTCAGCTCTTTTATTCATGACAAATTAAACCTTTTCCCATAATAATACTTTTTTATTTATAAAATGTTATTAATTAAAAAAAATTCATAGACCCAGAACTCTCTCAAAGATAAGCTGTTGTAAGCCGAATATCTGGATGGATGGATGGATGGATGGAAAGCTGTGTTTGATAAAATCAGGCTGCCTGTTACAACACACCATCACATAGCATCACATAGAATCACACAGAATCACATAGAATCACACAGCATCACACAGAATCACATAGAATCACACAGCATCACACAGCATCACACAGAATCACACAGAATCACATAGAATCACACAGAATCACATAAAATCACACAGAATCACACAGAATCACATAGCATCACATAGCCTTTTTCCAGCAGATGCCAGAACAAATGTTATGTCTGCTCTGCTAATCACTTACTGGAGTCTGATGGTAGCACAGTGTGGAGCAGATTAGACCTGTTTTTCAACCCGGTCCCCAGGGACCCTCAGACAGTCCATGTTTTTGCTCCCTGAGAGGGTCCAAAAATATGGGCTGTCTGGCAGGAAGCTGGGAGGGAGAAAAAACGTGGAGTGTCTGGGGGTCCCCGAGGACCGGGCTGAGAAATACTAGATTAGACCATATTTATGCCTACCTGCTGCTATGGGTATTCCCAGCAGGTTGTAGAACAGAGCAAACACAAAGTTGATCCTGATTCTCTGGACCGTCTTCTTAGATAATTCAATACTAGCCACCACATCCAGTAGATCATTCTGCAAGAGCAAAGAGAGGGATTTTTGTAAATAAACAAAGAAATTATTTTCAAATTCATTTTATATAAACAGCATTTTTATATTATATATATATATATATATATATATATATATATATATATATATATATATATATATATATACTGTCTAAACATTTTATATGCTCTATATTTAGGTTAAGAGAATAGGGGAGCTTTTTGATTGGAAAAAACTAACATGAGCATTTGTAGCAGTGACACCCTGAGAGCCTATTCACCTCCATTTCACTAGAGGGCACTGTGTTCAAGGCAGATAGAAATGCAGCATTGCTCTCTCACCCTGATCAACACGACGTCGGCCGCTTCAATAGCCACGTCGGTGCCCGTGCCAATGGCAATGCCCATGTCAGCCTGGGCGAGGGCTGGAGAGTCGTTAATGCCATCACCCACCATGGCCACCTTCCAGCCACGCTCCTGGAGTTCCTTCACTTTGGCCACTTTGTGGGAGGGCAGGACCTCAGAGAATACTTTCCTGATGCCCACCTATCCACACAAACACACACTGGGATTAAGGACAGGCCGTCCTCTAGTGCATGGGAGCTGCCCGGGTTCGGCGGATTCGAGCCCCACCTGAGCGGCGATGGCTTTGGCTGTCTTTCGGTTGTCCCCGGTGATCATCACCACATCAATGCCCATGTTGTTCAGGGTGTGGATGGCCAAGGCTGACTCGGCCTTCACCGTGTCTGCCACGGCTAACATGGCGCAAAGAACCCCTGGTGGGGGGGGGGGGGGCACAGCAGCACAGTGACACTTATTTCACAGTGGCCACCTAGAATATGCACCCTGTACTACCGCCTGTGACCCAAAGGAGGCACTTCAGTCTATGACAGTCTGTCACACAGAACGGAAACAGAATCATGATACTTGAGTAGTTTTTGCACATCCCATCTTCCTCTCAGAGACACACAGACAGGTAAGGCAAGTTTGGGTATCAGAGTGCAGGGTCAGCCAGCATCCTGCACCCCTGGAAAAGGAGAGGCTAGGGGGTTTGATTAGGGGCGCAGCAGTGACTCTGCCTGGATATGAGCTGGTCACACAGTGACCAAGACTGCAGAGCCACACACAGCCCCCAAAAACTGATGTCAGAAGCTGGATTCAAACCCACGCCTCCAGTTGGAAACCAGAACACTCATTTCGATAGAAGGTACTGGACCTTGAGTCTGGCGCCTTAGACTGGGTGGCCATCCAGAGTCAGTGTTCAGTGTTTAGGTGCAGCTAAAATACAGTCACCCTACAAGCTGTATCACAGAATTTTATTGCTGCAAAACAAGTAACTGACTGCTATTATAACACAAGACAGATAGTGCCTATTTAGCTCTCAGCAGAACCAGCTGGACATGCACAGTACCATCAATGGCCACCAAGATGGCAGTCTGTCCTTTGGACTCATGACTGGACATTGCGTCCTCCACATCGGCGGTCACCTGTAGGCCGTTCCGCCTCATCCACTCTCTGTTACCAATCAGCACAGAGTAGGAGGGGGTGGAGGAGGGGCCTGCAGAGACATATAGATACAAAAGTCAAGTCCCGGTGTTATTTCACACATATGAAATTAAACTGTGATTCTTTTGAGTGTCACACAACTTAAACAACAATTGTCACAATAAACTAAATTGGGTTACAAAAATAATTCTATCTGCTCAATCCTTGCTTCGCTACTTCTGTCGTTTTTTCCCTGCACTTCCGTGTAACTTCCAGGTTAGTGCCGTTGTTTGTGGTCATCCCATTACCAAGCTATCGCTGCCTCCCCAGTAGTTCGTGTTTGAACGAAAAGTTTAGAGTGAAAGCGCATATTGAGTAATACAAGTAAACAGCGGTGCAGGAGAGTGCATCAGAAAATAGACTTAAATAACAGAAACATCGTAGCGCAAATGTGCATTTTATCAGCATTTATGGGATAAGTGGGAGTTGAGACGTCTGATAGCCTGGTGATGCTCTGGAACCTTCTTCCAGATGGAAGGGGATGAACAAGCTGTTTGACTGGTGCAAGGGGCCACGTGTGATGGAGTGGACTCTGTTGCTGCAGTGTTTGTTATATATGTCCATGAGGGTGCTTAGAGAGGTTCCTATCATCTCTGCTGCCCTCAGTTTTATCTTGGGGAATCTGGAAGTCTGAGGCTTTGTGGTTCCTGTACCAAACAGGGATGCATCTGGTTTGGATGCTGTCTATGGTTCCCCTGAAACAGTGGTGGACCAGGAGGGGGAAATGTGCTCTTCTCCGTCGATGAAGGAAGTGTTGATGTGGCAATGCTGGGCCTTTTTGGTCTGAGGTGATCTTGTAGGTCTAGTTGAGGTCATTTGATATGTGTACTCTGAGAAAACTGGTGCCTCTCAGCACTCCCACAGTGGAGCCATTGATGGTCAGCAGGGAGAGTGCTGTATTGGATTTCCTGAAGTTTCTTATGATCTCCTTGGTCTTCTCCACATTCAGGACAGATGAATGAATGAATGAATGATACATTTAGACTCCAGATCGAGTTGCTCATTGGGATGAGGGGTGCTTTTCTGCAGTGGCGTGTCATTTTGCATGTCAAAGCATGCATAGAAGTTTTTTTTCAGAGAAGTCCAGACAAGAGGTAGATGTATACTTTTCCAAGTTAATGTTCTGACCATTACTTGCAGCATCCTTGAAAATGTCCCAGTTGGTGCATTCAAACAGTCCTGAAGTGCTGAGATAGAATCCTATACACACAAAATATGTTCAGAAGCTGTTGTTTTTGTAATGACTTTTCTCTCTGATGCGTGATGGAAGAACTTTTGGAGTACTGTTTGGAGATTCGCATGGATGAAATTTCCAGCCACAATAAAAAAAACGGTAAAGGCGAGCAGTTTGTTGTTTGCCAGTTGCCTCAGCGCAGTTTTAATAGTAGCATCGGGTAGAACATAAATGACCATTGAGATGACAGCAGCGAACGCTCACAGAAAACAGGGGGGTCGGCATTTGACTGTTAGAATTAGCACCAGAGGTGAACAGAGGCATGAGACAGAAACGGCATTTGTACATGATATAGAATCCTCTGCTACAAGTCTTGATGGAAAAGTCTCTGTGTGCCTGGAATAATCTGGAAGCTTAAAACAGAAGAGGCATTCAAGGAAAAACATTCACATTGAGCATTTAGAGGTTTTCTAATATTTTTCCCAAAGCCATGGAATTATGAATATACACTTGTATACTGTCCTCCATTTTCACTGCAGTTAGAGTGGCTAAGAAAAGGACTGGAGGGGAGAGATGTACGGACAGGTATGCTTCTGACCTGCTGCGTGAAGCTCTGCCATGTGGACCAGGCAGCTCTCATCCTCAGGGACGCCTGGCAGCAGCACCTGCGCGCTCTGGGCTTCGCCCCCCTTGGGCTCGACCTGCAGCAATGCCGCCACGTTGGACACCTTGCAGCTGATGCCACAACCAGGAACCGCCTGGAAGTCAGTGCAGTATCCCAGGGCTTCCGTCTTCAGTTCCTGACACACACAGATTAGATCTCTATGTCTTTATTGGGGACTTTCCATTCATTTCTATGGGCAGAAGGCTAATCCCAACTATGACAACCTCTACCCAGCCCTAACCTTGACCATAAGTAACCAAACAAAATGCATTTCATGCATTATTTGACTGGAGTCACAGATTTTTTATTTAATTAAGTTTTCCCCTTGTGGGGACAGAAAAAATATTCCCACTACTTCAAAATATCAGGCTTTTAATCATATTGTGGGGACATTTGGTATAAATATATATGACCGCCCCCCTTGCCTCCTTGCAGTACTTGGCCACGGCCACGCCCAGCGGGTGCTCGCTGCTGGCCTCGGCGGTGCCCAGCACAGCCAGCACCTCCCGCAGCGGCAGCCGCCTGCGCTCCCACAGCACCAGCACACGCGTGACGCGCGGCGCCCCCTCCGTGATGGTGCCCGTCTTGTCGAACATCACGACCTGGATCTGCAGGCGCCATGGAGACAAAGTGTGGACCCATGGACTCAAAAGTCACATGCTGTATAAATCATGGAAGTAGCACAGACACAAGACAATAAAGTAGCCATATTAACTGATCCATATAAATGGATCCATCCATTTTCCAAGACACAAGGCCTGATACGCCTTGGACGTTGTGCCAACACACACGCTAAGGACAATTATTTATTGACATTTATAACTATTACCCAATTGATCAGTAACACAACCCCACTTGTCCCCCTTTCCCCGGTTGGGTTACCTCCCCCCAGAACGTGCCCCCACCTTGTGGGCCATCTCCAGCGGCTCCCCTCCCTTGATGAGGATGCCATTCTGTGCACCCACACCAGTGCCCACCATGACAGCCGTAGGCGTGGCCAAGCCCAGTGAGCAGGGACAAGCGATGGACAGCACTGTGATCGAGGCCTGGAAGGCGAAGCGGATCACCACGTCCGTCCGGGAGATGGTGGGGTCAAAGCCCTGCGGGTGAGGTGGGACATCAGGGCACACGTTCCTCAGCCTACAAGAAGCCTCTGAGCTGCCCACTGTCACTCCTGATCCAGGTGCTCCTGTTTTTGGCTTCTAGAGGATCTACCTAATTTCAGGCTATGTAAACACTGCTATGCGTTATCACATCGTTTACCAAAGTATTTCCATCCACACTGAAACGAACACAAATGTATACGACATAGTTATTAGCCTATAGTGGGCATGTACGGATCGACACAGTGATCAGTAAATTAGTTTTTTATGCAGTAGTCACACTGACAAGCTATTTAGCGTGATACAGGTCAGCAACTGGGAACACGCCATTGAAAGTAGCTCCAAGGTGGGAGGGGAAAACTATCAGGGGCTCAGACACTAGTAACTAGGGATACTGAGCGATCGATCCATCAGGAGCCCCCCACCCTGGCAGATAATTTACTGCATGGAATCAGATGGGCAAGAAAATCAGAGGTGTCACCCATGTCAACTGTTTAGTGGTAAACATTTAGAGTAACCAGGTATCCAATCAGACAATGAAAGGGTACTAATGGGATCAAATCAGGGATGAGGCACATGATGACTAGGGACCAATTAGGATGCTTTTAGAGTCTGTGACTCTAAAATCGATTTATCGGAAGCTTACGACTGTTTACAAAAGTCTCCTTTTTTGGGAGCTGAAATCCCCGGGGTAGTGAAAAGTGAAATTCACATCACACACAGAAGGGTGAACAGACAGCAGACTACAATCACACACCCTGTTGTTTAATGATGCTATTCAGGCATACTCATAATAAATAATGGATTCAAACATTTTCCCACCAGAAGTATCTTTTTATCCACAGGGGTAACGGAACTGGACACAGACTTACATCTGGCTGAATTACCTGGCAATACTCCAAAATGCTCCAAAACTCAAAGGCCTTATTAAGCACAGCTCTGTTAACACCCTAATCAAGCTCTGATTCATTAGGTGATTCACACATTTCTGTCACAGACTATCAGCCTTTCAATAATGTCTTTAAAGTACTTATCTTGTGCCTTTATTATCTATCCTGGTTTTTATTATTTCCATTCTTTACTGTTGACTCTAAGAGCTTTGCACAAAAATTCTTATGTACCCGTACTGTCTGTGCATGTACAAATGGCAAATAAATCTCTTGAATCTGTTTACAAGTTATTCAAGTTATGCTTGAATGTTTACAAGCTATTGCATTGCACTAACACTACATGTCATATGTGTCTGAGCCTTTCCACTTAGTAGTGTTGTAGTACTCGAGACCGGTCTTTTTGCGGCCTTGGTCTCGTCTCAGAATCTACTTTATTTCAAAACCAGTCGAAACACTCATCGACGCCTCAATATTTATCACAATGGCCTAATATTGATTGGTTTGTTAACACAGTTCTGTGATTGGGTGTAAAACATCCTGCTTCAAATGCAACTAATAAGGTGCGTCTTATTTGATTTTTTTTTTACATTTGTACAGAGGCATTTATATTGAAATCTCAGGAAGAAAAATTATCCATGGTTCATATTTATACTGTGACACAAATTATAGGCCATACCGCCTAGCCCCAAGATGGTGCCTATGCTCCACATTTTACAGTGAGTTGTGTTATGTAGTCTTGTCTTAGTCTCGCCCTGCCTTGGTCTTGGTCTTGTCTCGGTCTCGCCCTGCCTTGGTCTTGGTCTTGTCTCGGTCTCGCCCTGCCTTGATTTTGGTCTTGTCTCGGTCTCAATATACTCTGGTCTTGGTAATGACTTGGTTTAGGTGGTCTTGACTACATCACTTCCACTTACACAGAAACAACCAAGCAAATTAGCTTCAGGCTGGCACTGTTCTGCCAGCAGTTTTACTCACAGGGTAATACTTCTTCACAACGCCAAAGTCCAGAAAGCCGATGAGCAGCCAGACCACGAGTGTCAGCACGGACACCGCGACGATGAACGGGATGAAGTACCCACTCAGCCTGTCCGCAAACTGCTGGATTGGAGCCTTTAAAAAGGGGATTTTAGAAGATTCTATGTGAATCACAACAATTCAAAGAATTTTTATTTAATTTCTGGAATTAAAAAATGCGATGTTGTGTCTGAGATAATTGTTTAAATTCCTGGAGCCCATAGTGCCTCAGCAGAGGGTGCTGTTACCCCAGGTTCAACACCAGCATGAATACTATTTGCATTATTTTCTCCCATATTTACATAATATGGGACAACAGCTACACTGGTGGTGAATGAGTGACTTTAACTCACCCTTAGTGCAAATGTGTGCATATGTACTTGTGATGGATCACTGTGATCCATGGTTGCTGAAAATGGAGAGAACATTTCTACTCAAGGTAGCAGTGAAGCTGCAGCCTGATGCGCATGTCAGCCAAAGTTTGCATGGTGTGTATCTGTGGACCGCTCTGCATGTGTGCACATTTCTCTATGTGTTACCCCACCTTGGAGGTCTGTGCCTCTTCCACCAGCTTCACAATCTGGCAGAGTGTAGTGTCTGCTCCCACGTGGGTGGCCTGCACCAGCAAGGAGCCGTGGGCGTTGACAGAACCAGCAATCACGGTGCTGCCTGCCCTTTTGGTGACAGGCATCGGTTCTCCTGCAGAAACACAACTAGGGCTTCAGTGAGACACCAACCAATGACAGAGCAACAAAATTAGGGTGCGGCCACACTGACAAATAATGTTTTGTCAGCAATATGGCAACAAACATTAACTCACTAGAGGGTTAATAACTCTAGTATGCAGTGGCTGCATAGTAATTCTCTCCTCTTATGTACTTAATTGCTTCACTGAAGGTATTATTACGATAGTATACCACCACACCTGATATGTTAAGTATGATTTACATTAAACCAAACTGTGCATTAACATATGGCACCGATCAAGCAGGGAATGCATCCTTAGATCTGCTCTAACCCAGCATTCCTTTCACCTGTAATGAGCGACTCGTCAGCCATGGAGCTTCCCTCCATCACCTTCCCATCCACAGGAAACTTCCCTCCCGGAACCACCTTCACGATGTCACCCCTCTGGACCAGATCCACTGACACCTGCTCCTCACTGCAACATGCACAAACATCACACTGATGCACACACACACAGACACACACACATACACACATACACACACACAGACCAGTACTCATATCTTTGTGGGGACTGTCCATTCATTCCTATGGGCAAAACCCCAATGCCAACAATGCCACCATAACTCCTACCCAGCCAGTTTTAGGTCACAGATTTTTATAAAATTTCCTCTTGTCGGGACCGACAACATCAAAAATAGTCAGTGCAGTAATAATGTAATGTACTTCTGACCAACACACACACACACACACACACACAGAGGAAGGCCTGCCCTGACACATGCGAGGCACCCTCACCAACACACACACACACACACACACACACACAGAGGAAGGCCTGCCCTGACACATGCGAGGCACCCTCACCA